TATCTACCTTTTCTTCATGGTTGGATATTTCATCCTTTTCCCACTAAAGCATAAGCCCTAGAAAGGCCGACAATTGCTTGTTTTGCCTACTGCAATTGCTGTGTCATGTAAGACAATATTTTTAGAAGGAATGAGAACCGATATAAGAATTTGACGTGTTACTAATAGCACAATATTATGCACTAGGTAAGTCTTATTAAAAAGAGGTTTGTAAAGGTTCATGAGCCCACAAGATCAATTTTGAGAAGACTTGCCTGGTGATGATCTTTCTGACATGTTCCCATGATGTGAGAGGCATGTGTTAGAGATAGAGACACTTATGTGAATACACACTCCCTCTCCCTTCTTTCCACTTTTCTTCTTTCCTTTCACTCTTTTTAAGCCATGAGGATTGATCTAAGAGGTCTTCACCGGAATCACTCTGTCTTACCCTAATTACTCCCAAAGTCCCCACATCCTTATCAACATAGTTGGTTTATAAATACCCTCTTTACACTTCACAACAAAAATCCAATTTGAGCACATGAGACCTTAGGGAACACACTCAGAACAATAAACATATCACAGTGATGCACAGAATTGTTTAAATAAACAAATGAGTGGTTATTATTAGATAAGACTGTGAGCAAGCATGCATACACACACACACACACACACACACACACACACACACACACACTCCTGTTTGTATGGAGGCCAGAGGATAATTTTATGAAGTTGATTCTCTTCCTTAGGCATTTAACGATGGAGCCAGGCTGCTGAGCTTGCACTGCTGAAACATCACACTGTCTCAGAAGAACATAGTTTTGAAGAACTAGAAGGGTTTCCCATGATCTTCTGTTTCTCTTAGTTTCACACTGGGATACATTTTGTTCAGATTTCTCAGTTCTTCAGGAAATATGGACAATCTGGTTATAGTTGCCAAAGATTTGGTTCCTTGGGGTCCAACTTTTTCCATGTATTTAGCTCTATACTAGTCTAGTGATTTAATCACCCTCGGTAACTCCACATGGCTAAACTTCTCCTAGAAGCGATCCCCCCCACACACACACTCACATGATACAGGTGTGTCACAGGGCCACTTCTGCTGTTTGGGTGGTCACAGGGATATATATGTGTTTTTGATTGTTGCCGTGATTCAGTAGCTGTGTGTTTTCTATCGGGATAAAAAGCTGCTGGGTAAACAGCAGTCCCCGATGGGCTACTTTCCAGTGGTCAAGAAAGGAAGCAATTTTCTTTTATGTTTCCTGATTTCCTTCAACAATTAAAAACACAATGTAACATGGAGAGTGGAGGGCTGATTTAGCCTCTCAAGTACTTGTATTATAAGTATGAAGCAATAAAACCCAGAGTGTGCATGTATATAAGATATTGAACTTACCTTTCTGCTACTTTCAAAAGCATCTTTAGTTATATCATTTTTTATTATTTTTCAGAAGAATATATATATATATTTCTTTATTAATTACATTTTATTCACTTTGTATCCCCCCTGTGGTTCCCTCCCTCCTCTCCTCCCAATCCCTCCCTTCCTCCACCCTCTGCATGCATGCCCCTCCCTAAGTCCACTGTTAGGGGAGGTCTTCTTTTCCTTCCTTCTGCTCCTAGTCAATTAGGTCTCATCAGGAGTGGCTGCATTGTCTTCTTCTGTGGCCTGGTAATGCTGCTTCCCCCTCAGGGGGAGGTAATTAAAGAGCAGGCCAATCAGTTCATGTCAAAGACAGTCCCTGTTCCTATTACAATGGAACCCACTTGGATACTGAACTGTCATGGGCTACATCTGTACAGGGGTCTAGGTTATCTCCATGCATAGTCCTTGGTTGGAGTATCAGTCTCAGGAAAGACCCCTGTGCTCAGAATTTTTGATTCTGTTGCTCTCCTTGTAGAGTTCCTGTCCTCTCCAGATCTTACTGTTTTCCACTTGTTATATCATTTTTTTAAATGATGAGAACATTGTTTCTAACTTAATTTTTTAGGGTTGTATCTAAATGCTTTTATTAATTATACAGCTGTATTAGAAAATTCTGTTACAAATATGTAAAATGTACATATAATTCCATGCATTGCTAACTTTAAATATTGATGGAAAAATTAAGATCATATACTAGAATTATATTTGCTTCTCTCTTGGTACAATGACTTAAAAGCTGAGTCACTTTATTAAAAAAATGAAAACATTAGTAACACCACAAAGACTGCATTATCATTTTTCACTAATTGATGTTTTAGTCATGAGCTTTTCCTGCATAAGTTTTTGCTTTCTTATAGAATTTAAAAGTAGATCACTAACAATATGAATTAATTAAAATTTATAAAAAGAAGCATAAACTGTACAAGAAATATACTCTATGTACATGTAATATATGCATATATTCTGCACAACTCTGGTTATACAGAATCCAATGAGAAAAATTGCACTTAAAGTCTTTCACACGTTAAGAAACAGAAAACTGGAATTATCTCTCTTAATGTTCATTAACTATAATGTTGGATTATGTTCATGCTTAAGTATGCAAGTAATAAAATCTGTATTCCAAATATCGTACTCAATTTTCTATTTCATGGTGTGAAGAGACACCATGACCACCCCAACTATTATAAAGAAAACACATTTTATTGTGGCTGGCTTACAGTTTCAGAGGTTCAGTCCCCTGTAATCATGGTGGGAAACATGGTGGCACACAGCAGACATGGTACTGAAGAGGGAGGTGTGAGTTCTATACTTGGATTGGCAGGGAGAGCACTGGGCCTGGATTGAGTATTTGAAACCCCCAAAGCCCATCCCAAGTGATACACTTCATACAAGGCCACACCTACTCTACCAAGGCTACACCTCCTAATAGTATCTTTTCTTAGCTACTAACCATTCAAGTCTATGAGCCTATGGGGACCATTCTTACGCAAACTACCACATTCCACTCTGTGGCCTTCATAGGCTTGTAGCCATATTATAATGAAAACAATGCATTTAGTCCAACTTCAAAAGTTCCCATCCATAATAGTTTCTGTACCTAGCAGTGTATTGAAGCAGATGTTGAAGCTCATAACCAAAATGGACAGAGTGCAGACAATATTATGAAAGAAGGGGGAGATAGAAAGATGTGGAAGGGACAGGAGCCCCACAAAAAGAGCAACAGAACCAAAAAATCTGGACACAGAGGTCTTTTCTGAGACTGCTACTCCAACCAAGGACCATTAATGGAGATAACATAGAATCCCTGCACAGCTGTAGCCCATTGGGAGCCCAGTTTCCCAGTGGATTTCCTAGTAAGGGGAACTCAGACTGTCTCTGACATGAACTCAGTGGCTGGCTCTTTGATCACTTTCCCCTGAGGAGGGAGCAGCCTTACCAGGCCACAGAGGAAGACAATGCAGCCAGTCCTGATGAGACCTGATAGACTAGGGTCAGATGGAAGGGGAGATGGACTTGGAGAGGAGCATGGGAGGAGATGAGGGAAGGAAGGTGGGATTAGTAGGGCAGGGAGGGGGCTACAGCTGTGATACAAAGTGAATAAACTATAATTAATATAAAAAATAAAATTAAAACAAAACAAAAAGTTCAGTTTCTTTCGAGACCCATGGCAATATTTCAACTGTAATGTCCTGTAAAATTAAAATCAAAAAGAGAAACACATACTCCCATTATGTAATGGCACAGGGTATATATTACCACTCCAAAGGGGAGTAAAGAAGAGCATAGTAAGAAAATATGGACCAATGCAAGACCACAAAACAGCAAGGCATGTCAAAGGATTCTTCAAATCTCAAACCCCTTTTAGCTATGTTGACAACAACACACTTCATTTTTGGCTGGTTAACAGGTATCCCACAACTCCGGCATCTTCAACGATTTGAGTTCTTCCACAAAAACCAGGCTTCGCTTTCACAGCTTCACACAATGGCTTCCCGGGGCCTCCACACAGGGATGCCTCTGACACATGCCTGGCTTTAGTAGATTTCCTTAGCTGTGGAGATAGATTCTACAACCTCTTTCTTGTATCCTTGACTCCAAAGCCAGAACTTCAGGGCCAAAGTTGCTAAGTTCTTCTGCTTGCTAGGACTGAACCATGACCCCCTCATTCAAATGCATTTTCACACTTTCTGTTTTTAATACTTTTCTTGATTGCCTAACTTTGGTTGTCCTGCCTAACTTGCTCTGTCAACCAGGCTGGCTGAAAATTCAGGGATCTTTCTGCCTCTGTCTCAAAAGATGAAAAGCAAGCACCACTACCCCAGACCTAACAGAAAACAAAATTAACAGGATCTTTGGAGGGTCCAAATATACTGCTAGATCTTTTTCTTCACTTCAGAAACGAAACATTAAAAAAAGTTCTGTCTCCTGTGTGTGTGTGTGTTTGCGTCTGTGTGTGTATATCCTTTGCATGTTTATCGTGGCTTCCAGTTTTGTGTTCTTCTGAGATTTCTGAGTGTGCATATGAGTGGTTCTCTGTGTCTTGTAACTTCTCTTGGGCATTTCACCTAGTTTATTTTTTTCCAATTCTGATGTTATGTTTTGTTTTTCTTAGTATATTTTATCATTATCCTCAAAAGCCTGTTTGTTTCTAATAAGAAACAGAAAGAGAGTGAATGCTGATGGGAGAGGAGGTGATGAGAATCTGGGAGGAGTATAGGGAGGGGAAACAAATTTAATCAGGATATATTATGTAAGAAAAATATCTATTTTCAATTGAAGGGGGGAAAAGGCTATAAATCACCAAGAAAGAGAAAGAAAGAAAGAAAGAAAGAAAGAAAGAAAGAAAGAAAGAAAGAAAGAAAGAAAGAATTATGCATTTCACTGTAGAAGAAGGGAGAAAACTTGAGCAACACCTCATACTGTGTTTTGCAGTTTTTTAGCACTAAAAGTGATTTCAGTGTTGGTTAAAAATAAATTGAAATATAACAAAGCAAATCAGAAAGTATCAGGTTTCATTAACTTTTATATTACTTAATACGTTGACTATAGTCTCTGAAAGAAAAAAAAAAATCTTTCTTTTGTATAGATAAGAAACTCTGGTGGGCAGACCAAAACTTAGCTCAACTGGGAACCTGTAACAAAAGAGATGGAAGGAATCGCACCATCCTGAGAAATAAGACTTCCGGAGTTGTTCACATGAAAGTGTATGACAAAGAAATGCAACAAGGTATGTCCCTCTGTGGTGAATTTGTGACACTGTTAAAGTAAGTTGCTCTCTCTTTCACGCAATTGGCTATTCCTTTTCTAGCCCTTTGTCACAGCGGTTGTGGGGGAGGAGGCCATGCCTAATACTGAAGAAAAATGGTCTTCACCTATGAGTTTTAAAGCATTATCAAGGCTGCTGTAAGATTCTTAATCTTTCACTTAATTGACATTTTATTTATTACCTGGGTAAAAAATATATACCTGGGTAAAAAATATATATAGGGAATTTTAAAATTTTTGTTTCTTTAAAAACGTAGAAACATTTTAAGAATATGTTCTCGTTTCAACCCCAGGTGTGGGGAGACGGGGCTGCTGGCTATGATGTGCCTCGTGCTCTAGCTCATGCCATGATTTTTGCCAGCTGCAGATAGTTTCCCACATTGTGGGAGGTTTGGAATTCTGGGGACTTTTCAGAGGATGTATAAATGCTGGAGTCCCGATGGGGGAGTGGCTGGTGCGCTGTTATTTTGTTGTTGGTTGCTATCGGTCATGGTTTGTTAAATGCCATACACAAAGAAGAAATTAGATATCCTGACTGCAAACTTGCCCCAAGGAGCTCCACACCGGGAATCAGCAGGAAATAGTCCAACATAATGTCGCCCCCTTTCAGACTCCTGAATTTATTCCAGAATCTCTTTAATTTCTTGTCTATCTCCTATCTAGCGTTAGCAGGTTGAAAGAGAAAAAGAAAAGGGGTGGAGAAGGGTGGAAGACTAAAGAACCCACAAAGCAGAAAAGTCCGGTTACAGATACGAGAAAAAATATCAAATAAAAATTTACATACCATGTAACTAGGCCAGGGTTCTTCAAATACCCCATGCTGATATAATTTCATATCTTAAAGTGCAGTATTGTTTGTCTCTGCACATTTACGCTCTTGTTGCACTTGTCCAAACGGTGGGCGGTGAAGTGGAGTGAAAGCTAACAATGGTTTACATAGGTGGACTCATCACAGTGCTCAGATGGCAACTGGATTAGACGTCACTGCAGCTGAGCGCCTGCTAGTCCTCTCTTCCTTTTTGCTACGGGATCCATGACGTTAGCATAACCCTCTTCTGAAAAATGAAAATCATCCTTCATACGAGCATACTATTCCCTCAAACCCTTCTCCACATGCTGCTTCTTCATTCTCCACATACACAAACTCCCTTACATTCTCCTCCATAGACTACTTCCTGATTCTAGTTTCTGACATGAAAATCCTTACCTTCAGATACTTCTCACAATAAATTTCATAACACTTAGAGAAAGGAATATTTAATTAAATTTTTATTTTTTATATTAATTACAGTTTATTTACTTTGTATCCCAGCTGTAGCCCCCTCCCTCATTCCCTCCCAATCCCACCCTCCCTCCCTCATCTCCTCCCTGCCCCTCTCTAAGTCCACTGATAGGGGAAGTCCTCCTCCCCTTCCATCTGACCCTAGCTTATCAGGTATCTTCAGGACTGGCTGCAATGTCCTCCTCTGTGGCTTAAAAAGGCTGCGTCTCCCTCGGGGAGGAGGGTGTGAGGTCAAAGAGCCAGCCACTGAGTTCATGTCAGAAATAGTCCCTGTTCCCCTCACTAGTAAATCCACTAGATACTGAGCTGCCATGGGAAAAAAGTTCAAATCAGATAAAAGTAGGGGAATAAAAAAGCCAAGGGGCTTGCTATCTCAGAGTAGTCCAACATTCCAGTAGGCAGGGTTTGCTGGTGACACCCATTGAATCCACCTAAGCAGGAGTAGACACTGTAGAAATGAGAGTGTGCCTGCAATACCTTTCAAAGGCTGAAATTTTGGTCAAGACTCCTTATTAAAGTCAAAAGAAAATATATAATTTTGGGTGAAAAAAAGATTATTTACAAATCTAATGTAAGATGATTAAAGTTATTTTATTTTTGAGAAGATATTAAATCGCAGATAATCCACATGAACAAATATGCATCCCTTCCACAATATTTAATTAGTTGTTAATCTTTTCATTTATTCCCTCCTATATTCTATTGCCCCCTTCCACTCTTCCTCTCCCCTGTGGTCTCCTTCTTTTTCTCAATCTCATTTCTGCTGACATATTGTGTAATAAGAAAAACGTGTGTGATGTGCTTCTTCCTGATTCGAGATTACTTTACTACTATGTTCTTCTCTAGATGTATCATGTATCTTTTTTCTCTGCACAAACAAACCAATCAATCAGTCAAACAAACAAAAAACCCCACCATTTTGCTCTTCTTCATGGCTGAATAAAGCCATGCGTGTGCGCGCGTGTGTGCGAGCATGTACCTTATTCTCTCATCTGTTAGTAGACACTGGTTTTGTAGCATGGTTGTTGCAATAATGCTGTAAAACATCTATGTACAAGAATCTCTTCAGGAAATCAACTGAGAATGATATAAAGCATATGCCCAGGAATTGTATGATTGAGCAATAAGGCATTTCTATTTTCACTTTTGTGGTTGGGTTCCATAATGCCTAGATTAGTTCATATTTTACCAACAGTGCGTATAAGAGAACCATCCCCTGATCCTCACAAGCCTATCTATGGTTCTGATTGCTTAATGAATGACCTTACTTTCTCCCAATAGCTATGGATGTTTGACAGGTTAAGTAAATTAGCCAATTGTACTTAATATAGTAACCAATATAAATTAATTTTATTAGTTAATTTATGGATATTTTGTATTATTTTTCTGATACACTGGTAATTTTTTTGGCAATTTTTAATTACTGTATAAAATAATCTAGTGATGTTTCACTAATAGTTAAAAAGTATTTTCTGTATTTCAATAAACAATGTAAGCTTTAAGGGTAACGCAATGATGGAATATTTGCCTAGCACGTATGAAGTCCTGCATTTGATCTGCAGCACAGAAAAATAGATAGATAGATAGATAGATAGATAGATAGATAGATAGATAGATAGATAGATATTGGAATTCATGTCAATGTAGTTTAAATGCAGTGTGTTATTGCTTACAGTAAATAGCATCTATGAAGACAGCTTCATATCTGGTCAATACAAATTTATTTATTAAGTACAAAAGTGTAAAATTTACATAGTATGCAAATGAAGATATATCTAAAATGTATTGAAACACATCATTTGCAAGTACAGCACACACAGAAACAGAGGGAGAGGAAGCAGCAATTCCTAACAGCATACCTAGAGAAAGGCCTCATTGATCTTTGAAGACATGAATAACACACATCTTCTGTGAAACTGCGGATCGGTTTTGTAGATAGTGGTTCTGATAAAATTTTCATGGGGATGTGATTCCTAATTCTGCTTTCCTTAGCCACACTTTTGTCACCTGGAAGATTTAACCCTAAAGATGCCACTGTGTGATACATGCACTACAAAAGTGTCCAAGGAGAACTCGAACACTTAGACCCAGTGGTAGCTTACAACTACACTGTTCTCGCTGGAAAAAAAATGCTGATAAAAGCATCTGTTTGAAAGACAACGCCATTAACAGAATCACTGTCGGTGGCTTGAAAGCTTCATTAGAATGAAATATGAGTAATTTAGGGCTCTTTAAGGTGTTAACATTATTACCTCCTTGGATTTCAAAGTACAATTAACTGCCTCATTTATCATTTTGGACACAGATCACTGGAGAGTTGAGGTTTTTTTTGTCAAATGGACTTTCCAGCTCCACCTGTCATTTGGAGTATGAGTTGTGACCATCAATCTCACTACAGAATATTAATCCAAACTACCACTTGTAACTTGATAATCACTACAAAAATCACTACTTTGAAATGACCACAATTGCTCCCTATTTGCATTTTATATACTAAAAGGAAATACTTACATTGAGTAAGACTAACTTCATTATTATTTTCTAACCACAGAGGTTGTATGTGAAATGTATGTTGTTATTCTAAAGTGTTTTAAAATATACGTAGGGAAAACAGGGACTATCTCTGGCCTGAACTCAGTGGCAGGCTCTCTGATCACCTTCCCCTGTGGGGTGCGGCCTTATCAAGCAACAGAGGAAGACAATGCAGCCAGTTCTGATGAGACCTGATGGGCTACGGTCAGACGGAAGGGGAGGAGGACCTCCCCTATCAGTGGACTTGGGAAGGGGCATGGGAGGAGATGAGGGAGGGGGTCACAGCTGGGATACAAAGTGAATACACTATAACAAATAATTCATAAAATGTTTATAAATATATGATTTTTTACCAAAAAATAAGTATAAGATATAATGCCTACATTGTAGTAGCACCGTACCCCAATAATGCTGTTCTATTTTGTTTCTCACAGTTCTGCTAATATTAATATAATTTCTCATATTCTCTTATTTTCATGTATTCATTCTATTCCTTGAACTAATTTCCCTTACTTTTTCATCTCCCTCAGCTCTGTGTTCTGTTCCCTTAAGCTTTATGTTGACATGCTACTAGGCCTTCCTCCTTCCTATGCTTCAGTCCTTCGTGTTAGCTGAAGAAGGCCTCACCTGAAGCACATGAATGTACGCCAGCATTAAGTTAACATGTGCCCACACGCTTGTCATAAAATGAAGCACATGCACTGTCAGATTAGAATTAATACACAGTTGTTAATGTGGTTTTCTTCTTGTTGAAAATATCAGCGATCTGAACTATCACTTTAAGTCACCTTGAGAACAGGGCAGATGAGTCAGCTGCCTTCATGAGTTCATAAAAGAGATACACACACGGAATTGCTTTAAAACTGCGGGTTACTTCTGAGGGATTCGATATTACTGAGGTATGGATGAAGGGATGAATTGAGAATGTGCTCAATCTCCTGATAAGCAACCTCCCAAATTGAGAATATTTCACATATCAAAAATGACAAAGGTAGTGACAGATTCTATTGAGCAATTAAATCCTGTTTGATTGTCTTGAATTCAGAAAATGAGAAATAATGAAGTGGCTTGGCATTTTCAATCTCCCACAGAGTCCTATTGATACTCAGCTCTCAGTGTGCTTTGGGAAGATCACTGGATTTCCTGAACTTTAGAGCAAACCTTGAGCCCATTAAATAGCATTGCACATTGTCCTAGATCAATAAAAATGTAAAAATGGGATATTTAATGAATTTACAGGGTAGAATGTAAATTACTTAACTTTATGCTACAGATTTAATTAGCCCATTGGGCTTAATGAACTCAATAGAAGATTTTCATAGAATGTCAACCTGGAATTACCTGACTAATATTTGTTACTGCTACCATATGGAAATGAGAAATGAAGAGAATTAGCGTGCCAATTGATTGCATGGTTTTGTTGGGTGTGTTTTAAAAGTATTTTGAAAGAATTATGTTTATTGGAATATAGAAAATAATATCTTTGCTTTAAAATTTAAATTTAAAGCATTAATGCAGCTATATATCCTGACCTTTTAGAGCTGAAGCTACATTTGAGTCAGAAAGAAAACATTGTTATTTTTCTGTGATTTTACAACATTTTTAAGGTCCCTGATAGCAGGGTATAATGGCATATGCCCTGAGGAGACCGAGGTAAGATGGTCATGAGTTCTAGACTAGCTAATCATTATCTAGTGAAATCTATCACAGCAAACAAAACACAAAATCCAGAAATTAAAGTGTTAATGACAGTTTTCATGAAAATTATAATTTCTGTTTACTTTTCTAAATGACCTTCTGATACTGTTTAATTGTTTTGAAGGGCAGGATTCCATCATAATCTGCCATTTTTAGTCTTTGAAAGAAGCCAGGCACAGTGGTACACACCTGTAATCCCAGCACTTAGGGAGGGAGAGGCAGGTGGATCTCTGTGAGTTCAAATCCAGCTTGGTCTACAAAGTGAGTCCAGGACGGCCAAGCCTACACAGAGAAACCTTGTCTTGAAAAAAAAAAAAAAAAAAGAGAAGTTATTTGAAGATGGAGATGTTATATTCTATATAAATTATATTTAAAAACAAAACAAGTATTTGTTCCCATGATTGATACCTAATGAGTCCGTTGTGTTATTATTTTCTTCCGACAGTTGTTTTGTTTTCCCTCTCTACAGGCAGTAATTCTTGCCACCTCAACAATGGCGGGTGCTCTCAGCTTTGCTTACCAACATCTGAAAACACGAGGACCTGCGTGTGTACAGTGGGCTATTATCTCCAGAAGAACCGCATGTCCTGCCAAGGTACACACTCACAGGAAATTTACCGTACTGTGCTTACTAAACCACCAGTGTGTGCCACACAGATTTCGGCAGCCACTGATAGTTACCAATCAGAAAAAGAACGTTATCTTCTTATTAAGACAGTGATCGCACTGGTACCTCATTAAAGACTGAGTCTTCCTTTTAAGGCAGTTTAGACCGAGTGAACCTAAGTTAAAGTTTGCCAAGTCTCTCCTCATGTATTCCTTCTATCTGAAGTCTCTATCTGGCTTGTATGTGGGTGCATGTCTGTCTGTCTGTCTGTCCCTAACAAAGGGCTTTGCTCTGTATTTATTGAACAGTACATAAATCATCGCATCGGAAAGGAATGAGGAGTTTGGCTTTGTTGTTGTTTGATTTACAGAACTCTATTAAAAAGCATCAGAAGGAAAAGAGTTACTCTAATCTAATCCCAAATGAGCCAGAATAGCAGTCAAAACACAAACTGATTTTTTAACCTGTATCTACCTGCTATTTCTGCTTAAAAATTGTGTTCTTTAAGGTTACTTTAAAACGTCAAACCTATTTGGCTGCTGCTTGTAGCAAATGATACCACGACCATACCACCACCATGACACACACACACACACACACACACACACACACACACACACACACACTCAGTTATTCTGCATCAGAGGCATGTGGAAGAATTCAGTTTAAAACGAAATCTGGATATTCAGCTTATGTTGTAAATGCTGATTATCTGGGAATTTCAAGGCACAGTAAGTTTGGTGACATTGTTTTCTCACAGTCAGGTAAAGCTAGTAGTAAACAGGCTGAATTCACATTAAGGAAACAGACTGAACCCATAATGAAGTGATACCAAGACTTTTATTGACTTGGTTACAAGCACTTTCACAAAAGTCTATTCCCAGAAAATAGTATGCTACTTGGGTGCATATAGAGTCATTTAATCGGTTAGAAATATTTGAAGTATCACTTCTTTCTTTTAAGACTTTCCAATTTTCATTTCATTCATTTATTCATTCATTCATTCATTTACTTATTGGAGTTATGCGCGTTACAGCACTGACAGAGAGACCAGAAGCCAACTGTGGGAGTCACTGTTCTCCGTGTGGATCCGGGAGATTGAAGTCAGTCAGGCCTTCATACTGAGGGGCAGGTGCTGTTACCTGCCGAGTTGCCTCCCCAGCCTAAGACTGTGTAATTTTTAAAAACTTTAATTTGGGCATTAAAATAAATAAATAAACAAAACCTTCAAGAAACCTAGTAGCTTCTCTATTCAATTCAAATATACTGAAGATGGCATACACAGCTGTGGTTGTTTAGGTGGTATTATTACACAATTTGAATTCCATTTTGTTAATTTCTTCTAACTATTTGAACAAAACATCACTGAGAACTGGAGCTTCAGGTCTGCATTTCTGAGGGACAAGAAAACTTCTGGGAGAGAACTGTGTACGACCGTAAGGATTCTACACCCCCTTTGGATTTCATAGTCTATAGAAGTGCTAGTTTACAAAAGTTAATTTCTTTATTATGGTGCTTACAAATGATAAAAACTCATTTTTTTTACCATAAAAGATGCCCCAATCCCATTTGAGAAAAATTATATATATCAAAATTATGACTTATTTAATTTGATATAAAATATGTGAATGACATTTATTCTGTCTCAGACTCTGTTTAAACGATCTTGAAACATTGTGACTTAGTTCCCTTCTTGTAAATTGCTGAGATGGATCCCAGTCACCCAATTTGATATATCGTAAAACTGAGGCACAAGGACCTTAATCAGGTTTTGTGATTAAGAGGTGGTAGACACATTTAAAGATAGACACTGTTAGTTTAAGAGTGTGTGTATGCATTTTGCAATATATCAGAGAAATTTATAAGCATTAGCATGTGAACCCTGGTGGTAATATTATATCTATGTGCTTATTTTATGATGACATCATTATGATGTTCAAAAATGTATCAGGGGCAAAAATTAATAGCTTATTTCTTGGCCCATTTGTATCTAAAAGATTTAAGAACCAGATTGTGTCCCTTAAAACCTCTAAATGCCTACTACAACAATACCAATGATGTAGTTGTATAAATAAAAGCCATTATTTTACAGGAGCAAGTACATGCTTAAATTGTAGAGAAGACAGAATGCCCTTTTCTGTGAGGCCAGACTTTCTGCAAATGAGCTACTTCAGAGCTTCTGCCAATGGTCTCATACCAAGGGCACTGCAGACAGAGAAGCTTTCATCTGCCCCTTATCTGGCTCCTGGTATGGGACCGGTGATCTATGAAACCCTCTGGGAAATTTCAGTGCACAACAGTTTCAGGGCCGTGGTTTACATACCTTTAAATCACTGTCTCTGTATAACCAGAGAACTTCATGAAGTTAAGAAATATATTCACTAATATAAACTAATATTCTGAAAATGACCTAGTGAATTGTTATGTGAAATATTCATTTTGAGCTTTCTTTCCTCTGTGTAGGTATAGAATCTTTTCTTATGTACTCAGTTCATGAAGGAATCCGGGGGATAGCTCTTGAACCAAGTGACAAAATGGATGCTCTGATGCCTATATCAGGAACTGCATTTGCTGTGGGGATAGATTTCCATGCAGGTAAGTAGCTTTCATTAATCATCCTCCTGATTCAGAAACAGACAATGTATAATGGCAATATTACTTTTAATCTGTACTTGGATAGTCAAGTTGACAATGAATTAAAGAAGAATTTTTCAGCTTATTGCCAATATTTCAATTACATTTTATCTGCTTAAGAATCAAGTAATTGTTTTCTAAATAGAAACATTTGATTTACATGTATATTTATATGCCACGATTGACAATAGCTTTTTTTCAAATAAGCGAAATTGTGTTTTTCATTTTTTATTTATATTTGATTTTTCAAATAAATAAACTTATATTTTACTTTTATCTAGTTATAAATACAAAAATACTCCAAATAAAACATTCCAATCTATTGAATTCTTAAGGTATTCTCTTAAGGAAAATATTTTCCTGATGAACAATCAATCAATGGTAAGAAATTTACTTAGAACATTTAACGTAGTATGTGTGGGGACACAGTTGCTTTAATTCCACGTCCTTTATGAATAAGGAAAGAAAGCAATCGTAGACCAACAGATTGCTGTGGGTGATACAAAATAGCCACAGGGAATTAATGGCAAACAGTGCTGAATGTATATTGAAGCCAACATGTCTCGGGGCAGGTAACAGCTGAAGTCATATGCAGTAGGGATGTTAAGGGTGGTACATTCATCTCATTTGCGATTTAATCCTTAAAATGTTACATATGCTCTCTGGGCTGGGCTGGAGCGATGGGTCAGTGGTTAAGAGGACGTACTGTTCTTGCAGAGGGCCCAGGTTCAGTTCCAGCAACCACAAAGTGGCTTCCTAATTCTACTTCCGCATGATCTGACATCCCCTCTTTCACAAGAACCAGATACTCGTGTGATATACATCTATGTACACAAAATACCCATGCACATAACATAAAGATGATAAATCATGAAATAAACATTGTTAATCTCTGCTTATCAGCATATGGACCCCAAGTAGCAAAACTTTTTCTCTCTTGCTGTAAAACACTTCGTTTTTTCAAATTTTTGAGATATTCATAAATGGGTCAAAGATAAATTTTCTGATATGCTTTTGTTTTTTATTATTATTTATTATTAGTACTATCATTATTTATTTATTAAATAATTTTTATTTTTTGTATTAATTACAGTTTATATACTTTGTATCCCAGCTGAAGCCCCCTCCCTCATTCCCTCCCAATCCTGCCCTCCCTCCCTTATCTCCTCCCTGTCCCTTTCCAAGTCCACTGATAGGTGAGGACCTCCTCCCCTTTCATATGACCCTAGCTTATCAGGTATCTTCAGTTCTTGGTGCAATGTCCTCTGTGGTCTAACAAGGCTGCTCCTCCCTCAGGGGGGGGAGGTCAAAGAGCCAGCCAATGAGTTCATGTCAGAAATAGTCCCTGTTCCCCTTACTAGGATATCCACTTTTATACTGAGCTGCCATGGGCTACATCTGAGCAGGGGTTCTAGGTTATATCCATACATGGTCCTTGGCTGGAGATGCAATCTCATAAAAGACCCCTGTGCCCTGATATGTTTGGTCCTTGTAGAGCTCCTGTCCTCTCCAGGCCATACTAACTCCCCCTTCTTTCATATGATTCCCTGCACTTTGCTGAAGATTTGGTTATGAGTCTCAGCATCTGCTTTGATACACTGCTAGGTAGAGTATTTTAGAGTCCCTCTGTGGTAGGCTCCTGTCCTGTTACTTGTTTTCTCCTACTTCCAATGATCATACTATTTGTCTTTCTAGGTGAGGATTGATCATCTTACCTTGGCTCCTCTTTCTTGTTTATCTTCCTTAAGTGTATAGATTTTAGTATGTTTATCCTACATTATAGGTCTTTTATTCACTATTATTATTATTATTATTATTATTATTATTATTATTATTATTATTTATTAGTACTATCATTATTTATTTGCTGGCTTGGAACTTACCATGTAGACCAGGTTGGCTTCAAATTCACAAAAGTCTGCCTATATCTACCCCATGAGTGCAGAGATTAAAGGTACTTTACCCTGTACACAGTACAGAAACCACTCTTCTTAAATAAGTTATGTTAGACAGGAGCCTACCACAAGCGGCCTCTGAAAGACTCTACTGATTGAGGTATCAAAGCAGAGGTTGAGACTCATAGCCAAGCTTTGGGCAGAGTGCAGGGAATCTTCTGAAAGAAGGGGGAGATAGAAAGACCTCGAGGGGACAAGAGCTTCAAAAGGAGACCAACAGAGCCCTGGGGGCCCTGAAGAGAACGATACCCTAACTAAGGACAATGAATGGAGAGGACCTAAAACCCCAGCTCAGATGTATCCCATAGACTCAGTCTCCAAGTGGGGTCTTAGTAAGTGGAACAGGGACTTTCTCTGGCATGAACTCAGTGGAAGGCTCTCTGATCACCTCCCCCTGGGGAGTGCAGCTTTGCCAGTCCACAGAGGAAGACAATGCAACCAGCCCTGATGAGACCTGACAGGCTAGGGTCAGATGGAAGGGGAGAAGGACCTCCCTTATAAGTGGACTAGAGAAGGGGCATAGGGGTAGAAGACGTAGGGAGGGTAGGTTTGAGAGGAGATTAGGGAGGGGGCCACAGCCAGCATACAAATTGAATAAATTGTAATAAATGATAATAATAAAAAATAAAAGTAAAAAAGAAAATGAAAATAGTTATGTTGGACCAAAAGCTTAGCATCCCATAGACAATGACATCCTATGTTTTTTTTTTAATTTTTATTTACTTGTTTTAAGAGGATGTGCATGATCCTGAATGTACATACGTGCGCACATGCATGCTTGAAATATGCAAGGAGCAGGAAGAGGGCATGAGGACCTCTGGAACTGCATTGACAGGAGGCTGTAAACTGCTGGGTTCTGGTGCTAGAAACTGAACTCAGGTCCTCTACCACAGAAGCAAGTGCTCTTGACCAAAGAACCGTTTTTACCACCTCTAAAATTCTGTTATTTCAGAAATGTTTTCTGCAAAAAAGAATTCCACCAAGAAATGTTCATTAGACATTATGGTAATGCTACCAAAATCATATTATAAATTGTTGATGTACAGTTGACCAAACCACTTTATTATTTATGGGAGAGTTACTACCTTGTATGATATACCCTGATTTTTATACACATGACTTTTTATTACATGTTTATTATATAATTCATTGGGTGAAAAACAAGAAAATTTGAACTTAGAAAATCTTTCAAGTACGCATAAACATTTAAACTTAGTACAAGCTCTCCTATGTTACTCAAATTTCATATTTGATTGTGTGAAAGCTCATTAATGATTTTTGAAAATATATGATAAATATTCAAGAAACAGAAATATTAAAAGAAAGTAGGTATTAATATTCTGATTCTGTCAATAAGCAAATTTTTAAAAGAGTAAACCAATTTATTTGTAGTAGTTAAATTCACTGAGGTTTTATGGTCCTGAAAAGGTTGAATTTAATAATAAAGCATAATTTTCTTTGTACACAATAATCATCTACTTGTTTCAAAATTCAGTAATTGTTAAAATTATGTTCTTAATAATGGAGTATCTTTTCATTAGAAGAAATGATTAGTGTCAGATAAAATTCTATGTTCCCTCTATTATCTCAACTAGATATTTTTAAAAACTACATGTTATTTATTCTTTAAAAGTTTTATAAAAAGACCTCCCCATCAGTGGACTTGGGGAGGGGCATGCATGCAGAAGGGGGAGGAAGAGAGAGATTGGGAGGGGAGGACGGAGGGAACTACAGGGGGCATACAAAGTGAATAAAGTGTAATTAATAAAGAATTAAAAAAAAGTTTTATACATTTTTCCCACCCGTAGCTCCCTCTCTCATTCCCTCCCAATCCCATCCTCCCTTCGTCATCTCTTCCCATGCCCCTATCCAAGTCCACTGGTAGGGGGGTCCTCCTCCCCTTCCATCTGACCCTAGCTTATCAGGTCTCATGAGAGGACTGGCTGCATTGTCTTCCTCTGTGGCCTACAAAGGCTAATTCCCCCTCAAGGGGAGGTGATAAAAGAGCCAGCCACTGAGTTCATTTCAGGCAGTCCCTGTTCGCCTTACTACGGTACCCACTTGGATACTGAGATGCCATGGGCTACATCTGAGCAGGGATCTGGGTTATATCTATGAATGGTCCTTGGTTGGAGTATCAGTCTCAGAAAAGACCCCTGTGCCCAGAATTTTGGGTTTTGTTTCTCTCCTTGTAGAGCTCTTGTCCCCTCCAGGTCTGCCTATCTTCCCCTTCTTTTATAAGATTCCCTGCACTCTGCCCAAAGTTTGGCTATGAGTCTCAGCATCTGCTTTGATACACTGCTGGGTACAGTCTTTCAGATGTCCTCTGTGGTAGGCTCCTGTCCTGTTTCCTGTTTTCTCCTTCCAATGTCCATCCTGTTTATCTTTCTGAGTAAAGATGCTATGAACCTGGTTGAGAAAATGTCCTTGTTGTGTACTTGAGCATATTTTGAAGATATGCCTAGGAGTGACATAGCTGGATCTTGAGAAATCACTATTCTTAACTGTCTGATAAAGCACCATTTTTATAATGTATTTTGAAAGATTCTATCAACCTGTGCCTCCCTTCAACAATTCCCACTATCTCCAATCCCATTCACCTCCCAAATTCATGCCCTCCATTTTAAGTAGTGCTACCCTATGTTCTCGGGTATGTGAACTTCCTTCAGAAACCAGAAACTTCTAATGGCTTCTTCTGCAAAAGGGAGAGCTTTGAGAATCTTTCCAAATTTTTGTTTGTACTTAGACTGGTTTGATTTAGTGTTGTTAACTGCAGGTGTTGTGAATTGACATGGGCAGCAGCCATGTCATGTCCAGAACTCTGCATTTCACAGCTCTGTTGTTCATCTATCAACTCTTATATTCTCTTCACCCACTCTTCTTGATATTCCTTGGACCTTGTATGGGAAGAGATGAGCATAGATGATCTATCCACACCCGAGCCCTTATGGGTACAAAAACCTTGCACTTTTACTGCACATAAACTTTTGCATTAACCTCTACCCA